GGGCACCGCAGACCTCTCCAGACCCACCCACTGCTCCCCTCAGCAGTGGACTTCATCAGTCCACCTGTTCTGCTCTCTATTCCATCTCTGGTGTTCATTCAACTATCGCATCACGTTCCTGGTGCTTCCTAAGCTCGACGCAACTAAAGCTCTGGATCATTTCTGTTTGTGAAGCTTTTGACCATTTTGCAAATGGGAGTTAGTATCTCCCACACCTCTGGCCTGTATCCTGGTTCTTTATGCATAAATAAATAGATCTAAAAAAAAAAAAAAAGAATCCAGGACATGACCCAAAAGCAGACACATGGTGAAAAACCATAACAGGGTTAACAGAGGTACTTACCCAGGGGGTGAGAAGAGAGAACTCACAGCTGGAATGACCAGATGCCTTCTGTCCTAGTGCAAGTAGTGTCTGCTGAGCAGAACCCAAGAGCCAAGCTGAAGCCACACGTGGCCACTGGTGGCTTCTCCACAGACACCCTTCTCACCAGCAGCTTCCCTGCCCAAGAGCCAGCTCTGCCCCTTCTTCCCCCAGGCCCTGTGCAGAGTGGAGTCGGGAGAGCCCCATCGTCTGGCATCAGCTGCGCCCACGGCCTCAGAGCTTGCCACTCAGCCCCCGTAAGCGCCCACTCTGTGGCTCTTGACAGTCAGCCTGACTCACTCCGTCTAAGTCTTCTTTTCGTTTTGCTCATTCAACAATCGCATCAGGTTCCTGGTGCTTCCTAAGCCTGACGCAACTGGATCATTTCTGTTGGGAAGCTTTTGACCGTTTTTGCAAACAGGACCCCGTATCTCAGGATGCTCCCGTCTTGCCTGTCTGCATTCCAGCTCTTCAGTCGCACCGGGGTCGTACCCTGCCTGCCTCAGCCTGTCTTTCTGCATCTTGTTCAGCACCGAGGGGGCTGCCGGTACCTCTGCCTGACACTGCAGGCCCTGTGGCCTCGAGGAGCGCGCTCTTGCAGGGCCACGGGGACCCAGTCGACTCTTCGGGGCCCAAGGGCCTTCTCAGCAGAGACATGACCCCACTGGCCGTCTGCAGATGGAAGGTCCATGCCCCGAGCTTGCGAGTGTGATCTAACCACACGATGGGGGAGGCAGCATCTAGTCCTGACATGTCACAGCGCTTTTTCCTCTGTGAAGTGGCCTCCTAAATTTGCACTCTCTCCGACCTCTTAAGTGACCTTCGGCGGGTCGCTAGCTTGTAAGGGCCTCAGTTTCCTGCTATTAGAGAGACATCCAATGTCCCTGCCAGAAAATGTATTCTCTGAAACCAACGAAGCCTTCATCGCCTTCGTAACGGTGTGGTTCTGGATTTAGACGCTATTTTAAAAACACCCTCAATCTCCTGCCTGGATAAACAACAGTTGCACGGAATTTGCACCTATTATGTTGAGAGCCCCTCCATTTATTCACTCGTTGATTTTTATTCATTCTCTCTCATGACCTTTCAAAGGTTTGCTCAACAAAGCCGCTCCTTGCCTGTCCACGAAAATCTCACAGTGATCCTTGGTGATGAGTGAAGCGTGCCCTTCAGACGTTTGAATATTTACGGCTCCTCCAAGCAATTCCCAGCAGGCACGCCAAGCGATATGCTTTCCATTACTAGCCTGAAAATAGGTGATTTTGTGTTAAAAAGAAAAGGAGTCGCTTAACTCCCTGCCTTCCGTGACCACCTCCTGTCTGGCTGACCCCTGGGAGCTGCTTTGTCTCCAGCGCCCTGGTCCAGTTGATCCCTGTGAGCCCATCAGCATTTCCAACACAGCCACCTCCCAACCCCCCACTGCTGTCAAAGGAGGAGCATTTACCTGTCAAAGCAGCCCTAGCCCTTGCCCCTGAGCAGCCTGGGCACTGTGTGAAACGAGCCTGCACCAGTGAGCAGCCTCAGAGAAGGGGTTCTCTGGGGCCAGGAGGCTCATGGGAGGAGGGCCGCTCCCCAGAGGGAATCGGGAGGGATTTACACCCAAGGACCATAAACGGGGGAGGTGGGAGCTCAGAACAGCCAAGGCGTTGTGCACCGGCCCGAGGCCCAGGGCACCCCAGCCTGCACAGCCAGGAAGGGGGCCAAGCCCTGTCGCCCTGACGCCTGCCTCCTCCTGGACGCTGCCTGAAGGCTGCTGCAAGGTCAGGGCCCCGCTGGCCCCTGCACGGCCTGGCCTCATCTCCCAAAAAGTGAGTCACCAGTGCAGCAGGTCTGTAGCTAGCTTGAATGCAAAGGAACGAGGAGGTATAGAGGTAATGCCAGCAGGTCTGCTTTCAAACCTGCTAGAGAAAGCCAGTGTGGACGGCTCCGCGACACCTCAGTGACGACTGTCTGTCTGTGGAAACATGGTGCATCCTGGAGACTTGCCCGAAAAGTATGATTCCGGTAGTGGTGACAGGTCTTCAGAACACCCAGCAAGGTCACGGACAACCAGAGACGGCGTTCGGAGAGGGAGTCTGGTCGCCAGCGCTGGGCACAAGCTGGGAAGGCTGGCGCCGAGGCGGGCTCTGCGGCCGTGAGAGGCCTCGCCAGCCACTCTTCACGTGAGCGATGGCAAGTCTCCATGGGCTTCTTCGATAACGATCTGTGATTCAGCGTCCTAATAACATACCCAGACAATGGGCTTGGCAAACAGGAATCGGTGACCTGGGCTCACGAGACAGAAGATGGTGAAAGAGATGGAGGCTAAAGTTCTGGACATCGTACGGGCCTCCAATCACAAAGCTGCTCGGGGACCCCCGCAGCTGGTGGTCTGGGTGCAGAGGAATCGGCCCGACGGGACCCC